AATTTCATATTCTCTTGTTTGTATTTTGTGGGAAATAGAGTAATGGCCTGTATGTGAAGTCAATGGCTCTCCTTTCAAAATATTAAAGAAAATTGGAGGCAAATATTTATCAGGTAAAATCTTTATGGTGCAATGGAAGAGCAATACTATATTATTACTAGCAACATTGCGGATCTTAACTTTGATGCGGTTTTGCTATATTGCTTTTGTTGAGCCCCAAGTAATTTTCTTAACAAAGAAGTTGGTCTTGCGAGTGCTTATGTGTGTGTGTGTGTCCATAATTTTGGACTTAAATCATGAAGTCAAATGAATAATAGGCCACCATAGGGGTGGCATCATCATCTTTATTTGGCAATCAGTATGTCAATTGTGTTGGGGTGCTTTTTTAATTTTCATTTTGTCTCGAAATTTTATATCAACCATAGTTATCCCTTCACATATATCGTTTTATTTCTTTTCTTTCGTTTTCCCTTCACATTTTTCTAGAACCAAATAATGTTAATTTACTAACTTTCCTTATTCTTTAAACTTGACAGAATCTGGATAAGGCCATTGATCACAAAGCGTTACATGATACATTTTCTGCATTTGGGAATATCCTCTCGTGCAAGGTGGCAACAGATTTGAATGGTCAGTCAAAAGGCTATGGCTTTGTACAATTTGAAAATGAGGAGTCTGCCCAAAAAGCTATAGAGAAGCTGAATGGTATGCTATTGAATGATAAGCAAGTTTATGTGGGGCCATTCCTCCGCAAACAGGAGAGAGAAACTGAAATCAGCAAGAACAAATTCAACAATGTCTATATAAAGAATCTCTCAGAAGCAACAAGTGAAGAAGATTTGCAGAAAACTTTCGGTGAATTTGGCACAATCACTAGTGTTGTGGTGATGAGGGATGCAGATGGCAAATCAAAGTGCTTTGGTTTTGTCAATTTTGAGAATGTTGATGATGCTGCAAACGCTGTCGACGCCCTGAACGGAAAGAAATTTGATGATAAGGAATGGTATGTTGGGAAAGCCCAGAGAAAATCTGAAAGGGAACACGAACTAAAATATAGATTTGAGCAGAATATGAAGGAAGCAGCAGATAAATTTCAGGGTGCAAACTTGTACATCAAAAATTTAGATGATAGCATTGAAGATGATAAGCTTAAGCAGTTATTCTCTCAATTTGGTTCCATCACATCATGCAAGGTGTGTAGCATCTGAAAACTATCCACTTAATTTGGCCTTGTCAGTTTTGATGGTTGAAGCTGCAAAATAATTTTGAACAGGTGATGCGAGACCCTAGTGGAATTAGTAGAGGATCGGGATTTGTTGCATTCTCCACTCCTGAAGAGGCATCTAGAGCTGTAAGTTGTTATGTCTGTGCACATTAATAGGAACTTAACAGAAGCTGATAGATCTTTCTTATTTTGACAGCTCCAGGAGATGAATGGAAAAATGGTTGTTAGCAAGCCGCTGTATGTTGCACTTGCACAACGTAAGGAAGATAGAAGATCCAGGCTGCAGGTTTGTTCCCTCTGACATTTATGTTCTTCTGATCTTTGTTTTGAGCTTTCAGTCAACTTAACTGGAAGAAAAAGGTAGTGTGCTTTTGACGAATAATTGCTGTTTAGTGTCATTAGTTCCTTGTTACCTGTGTAATGGAATTAAGATTTTCTTCAGTTATGAGTTATTTCCTAGGAGCATGCTCAGCTTAGATGAAAGATGTTGGTAGTTCGAACTTATTAAAACATTTCTTGCTTCATTTGGTTGGACGTATATTTGATCTTTTGTTCTGATATTTAACCTTTTAGATCTCTCAGATTTGGTGCTTTTTTAATGCCAGATTGTCATATTGTTATATCATGATTTTGTGCGGTTATCTACTGTTTATACAGGCTCAGTTTTCTCAAATGCGGCCAGTTACAATGGCATCTTCTGTTGCTCCTCGTTTGCCAATGTACCCTCCTGGTGGTCCTGGTCTTGGGCAACAGCTATTCTATGGTCAAGCTCCACCTGCTATGATTCCTCCTCAGGTGAGCTTCTACCTTCTCATATGACAAATTTTTGTTACACAGTCTTCTTTGTCAGATATTTTTAATATTTTTACTGCTGATTAATTGATGTTTGTATTCTTCAGCAGTTTGATATAAACTATCATATTTTATGAGTTCTGTCTCTTATTATGCATTTGAATGTCAGCCTGGATTTGGGTATCAGCAGCAGCTTGTTCCTGGTATGAGACCTGGTGGGGCTCCAATGCAGAATTTCTATGTTCCAGTGGTTCCGCCAGGGCAACAGGGTCAGTGGCCTAGTGGCAGACGGGCAGGAGCCATTCAGCAAAGCCAACAACATGTTCCTGTAATGCAGCCACAGGTGAGTTATATTCTGTTGCTCATTATCTTGTATATGTTATCCCCATCTGTAACCACACCTTTATAAAATGGGCTGTTTGACAGATGCTTCCTAGGGGACGTGTCTACCGCTACCCGCCTGGGCGTGGACTGCCTGATGTTCCCATGCCTGCTGGTGCTGGAGGCATGCTATCTGCTCCATATGACATTGGTGGTATGCCTTTGCGTGATGCAGCAATTTCTCAGCCAATTCCTATTGGGGCTTTGGCTTCTGCCCTTGCAAATGCTTCTCCAGAGCAGCAGAGGACGGTAAATGTTTAATTCCATAATGTCGTTTTTTTCTTGAATTGGTAGCCTATTCTCTTCATTATCAACTTTTTTGCTGATTGAAATTAGATGGAGACTCCAACTATTTGGTGACCTCGGGGGCCTTGCCCACTTCTAAAAGTTCCGATGGCAAATAAAAAACTGGGATTAGTTTTTTCTCTGAAAAATCCTTTATGGCCCTACTTAGGAATTTATGCCGCCTTTTAGATAAAAATTTGCAATGCTGGTTCAGCAACTATACCAAAATACTTTTTTTCTTCATAATTAATACTATTGCGGTCTTGCGATTTGGAGTTGCAAAAAATGGAATAACAGCCAGTCTAACACTACATAATGATCTTGAGAAGTTCACTGCATATAATTTCTGTGTAGTTGATGTATGTTTTGACAGAACAACTGATCTTTGTTTGTCATATTAATTTGACAGATGCTGGGGGAGAATCTTTACCCACTTGTGGAACAGCTAGAGCCTGAAGCAGCAGCAAAGGTAACAGGCATGCTTTTGGAGATGGATCAGACGGAGGTTCTGCACTTGCTCGAGTCCCCAGAAGCTCTGAAAGCGAAGGTGGCCGAGGCAATGGAGGTTTTGAGGAATGTTGCTCAGCAACAGCAGGCGGGCAATGCAGCTGATCAACTAGCCTCGTTGTCATTGACTGATAACTTGGTTTCCTAAGTTGGTCTTGGAATACATTTTATATATTTGGGTTGGAGGCAGTCGAGACTTAAAAAGTAAACGATTTGATAGACTAGGCACCCGTATTGGCTTTTTGTTGAACTGATTGGAGAGTTTCAGGATCTAATTTGCGGATTGTTACAGTTGATGCTTTATGTTTGGTGTCTAATTTTGCACTTCTATTGCTGCTTTGGTTTTAATTATTAGTTTGGATAATATATATACAATTATTCTATTGGTGTTGTGTCTTTGATTGGGCGGAACAATGTTTTAAAACCTAATCTTGGGTGAAACTTTCAAAGTGGTTGGGTTTCGGGTTGATCGGTTTAACCAATTTGTTCAATTGGTCAAATTGGTGTTTAAAGGTTTGAAATATAACAAAAATACCCTTGAAAATTATATGAGTTCTTACAGGTTTGAAATCTTGTATAAACACTTAAAATACTATTGTCAGTGTTAAATAGGGTTTGTTTTGGTGTTTTCGGAGATGATAACACTCTTTAGTACCATGAAAACACTCTCTTTAACCTTCTAACCAAAATCGAAAAATCCATCTCACTCGTTTGTCTCAATCGTCGACAACAGTAGGCTTTTTGGGATGATATTGTTTTACAATTTTAGGTCAATTCACTCATCGAAAATTGATGTCGTTGCCACTATTGCACTCACTGTCACTGGCTATTCTTCTTCAAAAGTTTTAATATTCAATTGTGCATAGATTAATGTCCTAATTTCTAGGGTTTTCAATAAATAAGAAAACTTATGTCTCGATCTGGTGTCAATTGTTCACGGATTGATGTAATTTTTGGGGTTCTCAATGAATAGGAAAACTTATAACTCAATCGGTAAAGACTCCTGGTCCTAGTCGAATTGGGTTTTAAAACGCTCACGAAATTATTTATTAAAATGAGTTTCAAGTATATGGGAGAAGGTTGATATAAATAACTACAATTAAAATAATTATTCAAAATTCTTTTAAGAAAATTAATGATTAAAAGTCATATTGTCATGAATTTATGAAAATTTATTTAAGGTAAAATTCTCGACCATTCGTCCATCTTTTTATGACCAGTGCGACGTATACGGTGTACCCAGGTCAATCATGGGGCTGCCAAATCTGTATTAAGGAAAATTAATAGTCCCTTGCTTTAACCTCAAGGAGTTGCCAAGACAGTGAAAAAAATTTGATCTTTCTATTGACGTTTTAGTTCGAACTATATTGAGGTCTTCTATTACATTTAAAGTTTACCTTGAAATATTGAACTAATAAAATATTCAATAAATTTTAAGGATTAGTTAGATATTCAATAAATTTTAAGGATTAATTGAGACGTAAATAAATTGTACATCCCGTCATTTAAAAAAAAAAAAAAAAAAAAATCATGTGCACGAACTGAATTAGTTGAATTCTCAATCTGATGTCGTCTTAAATCACATGCCCCGCCACAAGCGGCGTCGAAAGACGAGATGAAATTGAGAATTCAACTGAAATTCAGAACTCTTCCGTAATGTTAAATATCGACGAATATAGCTGCACCTTGAACAAGCCTTTCTTCTCTTCAGTGTGTAAAAGTTCTTGAAAGCCGATTGAACAGAGCAACACAGTCCATGCTAATTTTGAGTATCATGCCATTGCCAGCTTGATATGTGCTACACTTACAATTCATAGAGCAAAACAAAATAATGCATTATAATTTCACAGTTTTCCTACTTTCTAAGTTAATATGTGCACAAGATCAAAAGATAACTGGTAAGCTATGAGAGCGTCTTTCAAGCCCCCAACACGGTAAAGAGCTATCAACATAAACATTTGAACAAGTATTCAATACTTATACAAAAGCCCTAATGAGACTAGGACCAAAACCTACAACAAACCTGCTTCAGAAATTAAGAATAGTTTCAATTACCGCGTCTCAACCTCAACCCTACATCAACTTCTCTGTCGTATTGGATCAAACCAGAGCCCCGTATGTTAGAACTTTGGGTGTCAGAGGGCATCCCTGCCTCGTTTTGCTTCTCTTGCGAATCTTCCCCATAGTTGTGAAGCCTACGGCCAACTAGGTATCGATCATCACGAATGCTGTTATGAAGGTTAGTGAACCAGACATGAAATCTCTTAGCACAAAACCACAACACACTGAAACATAGGCATCCCAGCCACGCAAAACGATAGACTGCTGAATTTACTACTAATGGGTACCCAAGTACAGGAAACACCCCTCTGGCTAAGACATATGGTACACACAGGGCTGTCAACAACTTCATTATGATTGGGAAAACAATCTCTTTAAGCACCCAAAGACCTTGCAGCCTGGAGAAACCATCTTCTCTCACCCTTTCGAATTTTATCCGCCAGCCATCATCTACCAGGGGCATCATGTGATCCAACATAACCTGTTACAGCAGGGAAAATTTTAGTTCAGGGACACGTTTGTTTCTTCAAATTAAAACCATAAATCTTGTATTAAAAGATGACTAAAATGTTGAAATTTGAGAACATTCTGTCAATCTCTTGCAACTGCGCATTAGCTGTCATAGTCATGTAAATTGTTTAAAGAAACTTAAAATATTCATTGACAGGAAAGATTAAAGAAAACACATATAACAGAGGAACAGATATCATCCAAGAAATAACAACAACAACAAAAAATAAAAGAGATTGGACAACACTAATGCAACTTGAATTTTAAAGTTTAATCATCACTCCCAGCCAGTCATATGTGCAGAATATGATACACATATTCCAGATCCATAAACCCAAAGATCAATGTATATTTACGATCACTTCCAGGTCACTCAATAGAAATCAATAAATTTCAAGTTAAAGAAGAATTAAGAATTTGGCTTGATCCTCAGCTAAATTATTGCATTCTCATTTTACAGTGTAAAAATCAGTCATGCACCACAGAAAAGATGTTGGTCAACAGGAATGCACAAGAATGTGATAAAATTACTCACCAATCTAGTCCATATCTTCAGAAAAATGAGGCCCAACGCCCAGTCCTGATACAGGAGGAAAACCGGGCTTTCATCTACAGGCACCCTCATTGGCACAATCACCAGGAGCTCGAACAGCAACCCAATTAATACTGGAATGACAAAAATCTGGAACATGGCACCAGTAAAGGGATTAGAAGTGTAGAACACCAATCAAATGACTAACAAAACCGGATAGCATAGGAAACTTAAATAAGTAAAAAAAATAATAACCAAAATAACCATTACCCATATTGACAATAATGCAGAGCTCTTAATGACAATACCACACCACTTCCAAATTTGGCCAAACAAAATTGCCGCCCTCTTTGTTCTAACATGCTCAATGGAATATCTAGCTCCAGCTATGGCAGTCCAAATGACATAGCTTCCAATGATGAAAGCATACAGATCTGCGAAAAGGGAACCAAAGGAATATTAGTAGCATTTCACCACGGATGAATGGGCCTAGTAACCAAAAACCATACTATCATCAATGTTACCATTGCACTTGACGCCATGAGTAATTGGAAGAAGAGGAATTGCATTAAAAACTGCGCGTCCAAGTGAAATTGGCACCACTATCAAGGCTGAGTTAATAACAAGCAGAGTCATCCAGGCAATCACCAGCAAGAGGACAATACGAAGAACAAAGCCGTACCTGCTAAAATAAAGAGATTGATATCTAAGAAGCAGTGCCAGAAACCACTAAACATCAATTATACCAAAAAATAAAAATACAGAGATCCATTCATAGTGTTACAAATGTAAGCATCCTACAACTTACTCTGAGTCAGTCTGATCATCAGCATCATACTCCTCTGAAACATTAGAGTTTCCAGATCCTAGATTGCCTCTATTTACATCATCCACTGCTGGATATTGAACCAGGGGGGCTCGTTCATGTCCTAATGGTATTACCTGCAGTCTATCTGGCCTTGGCTCAACATTTCCATTTTCCTGGCCACTACTTTCATCAGGTCTGGGCAGCAAAAACTTAGTCAGACCAAGTGCCCAGCCAACTGCTGTAAACCAATAGCGAAGAAGAGACTTGATTGTTGTCCGCAATTTAAAATGCTCAATGGCAAATGGAATGCAGATTTGAAAGAGAAGCATATCAGCTGGTATTTCAGTAAATGGGTCAGATACCCTGTTACAAACAGTTGTACAATTAGCAAATAAACTTGGCATATCAACATGAAAAGAAAATACAGAAAGAAACAGCATATTCCTAAAACAAAAGTGTCATCTTACGATATGTCAAGAGGAAAAGTGGAGGGAGCCATCCGCATAGCAAGTTTGACTGGCAAAAATACCAGCATCACAATCAAACTCCCATAAACTGCAACAGACAACAGAACTCTGCGAGCATGCTTGTGTACAGGATCATCAATTAGATCACGGAATGGATTATAATTGGGATCAGCAGGATCTCGAAGAAAGTACAGAACTCCATTACGCAGAACCTGCACACAACAAGTGAAGAAATGATCATAAGGGTCATTATTGGACTAGTCTCAGAACTATAAAAGAATGGCAAGGAACATTACCACTCGAAGAAGGCTAACAAAGATACTTATTTGTAACATGTACACAATCCCTACAACCCAATGAACCAACGAGCTTGCCAAAGGAGAGACTGAAAAGAACAGAACTCTTTGAGACATTGTCTTCCCAAACATCCTTATGGTACAGACATCTAACCACCATCCACACATTAAAGGAAACACCCCAAGTTCAATGACCAGAAGGAAAGCAACCTTAATCATGGTCATCAAATGCCTCATTGCAGCTAGAAACTGCCTCAAGAGGGATGGAATCGTTTCTGCTATAGAAGCAATACCATAAAACCTCCCCATAGTCAAAGGCTCACCCTTGGTGTACCGAATCAAGGCAACAATACCCAAGTAGAAGAAGACAAGAGAGAATACGAACATATATCCAATAGCAAGTGTAGTAACATCAGAAAGTCGTGATGTTCCAATAGTTGCCCCTTTTAAGAGATCTGCTGAAAGTGGTGCACTTGTACTATTAGCTGCTTCATTTAATCCACTAGCATTTCCTTTTAACATCTCAGCAACCTGGCCAAGCATGCTGTTTTCTTGACCTTCAGATGTGAGATTTGTGACAGCACTTAATGCATTCTTCAACGTAATATTTGCTAAAGAGAGGGCTGTATCTGTGAGTGGCATGACCGTTGACAACACTGGACCACTAGTAGAGAAGAAAAGCCATGACATATAATATAGAATTATCCGACCTAAAGAGAAGGGGACAAAGATCACAACACCAAGGAATATCATATTGCTAGCCAAAACCTGCAAAAGAGTAAAGTCACTCATCATATCATGAAAAACTTTCCAGCAAGTAAGGAAGAAAGGGACTAAATTGGAAATTCAACACTTTTGATTCAAAAGACAACCAAATATAGTTAAAAAAGGATATTCATAGCATGTTATGTGAAGAAGTCCAATGAGAAAAGTACTAAAAAAATTTCTTCGGAAAAATAAAAATTATGAGATCTGACAAACCAGCAAAGAGGCAAAGGTTCCCGGTCAAAGGAACAGTAACAGAATCAGAAGTTCAGTAATATTATAGGACCGGCTCATAACAAGAGAAAGTTCACCTCCACTAAATTATTAAGCGAGAGATTTATCCTTATGCTTTCTTTCAATGAAATATGGAACTCTAATCCCAAGGTCAAATTTCATGGTACTATTACAAATAAATCATGTAAATAATTCAGCTCTAATCATGCCAACACTAACTTAAAATTATATCAAATAGAGGCAATTCATTCAAACAGAGAAAGAGAAATAAGATGAATTTCATAATATGCTCTCCTAAAGACAAAAGGATGTGAGGACTAAAGTAAAACCACCAAGATAAGATCAGTTAGGAAAATTAATGACAAAACACAATGTTACCTAGCAATGATAATAGCTAAATGAGGGAATGAATAGCTGACTTACGGTAAATGCATTTTCAACTAAATGAAAAACAGGACCCTGCATGCCAACAAGCTCATCAAAAGGTACATCCTCTGCGCCATCAGCATCATCCAAACCGTCAAACATCTGTTCAACATGGGCCTCAAGACGAGCTGCCTGAATCTCCCATCGTGCAGCAACATTTTCTGCATTCCTTCTGATAATTTGACCTGCTCCAGCAACACCCTGCGCTCCTCCAGCATCTTCTCCATTTCCTTCACCAGCAAAATTCCTATTAGCTTGTCCAGGAGGTCTTCTGGCAACACGAGCACCATTTCTATCCCCTTCATCCTCCCTCTCTGCATCTTGTCCTCCAAGCTCACGTAAATGCCTGAAGTAATCTCGCAAGGAAGTGGCTCCAAGAAAAATAAAAACAATGCTAGCAGAAAGTAGGAAACCATGCAGACAGTCAGTAAGAATAACTGTTGTTGAGATATGACTTAAAAATAATCTCTGAGCTTCACCAAAACTCCTCACAAAGGCCAACCGCCATATCCAAAACGTGATAAAAGGTATGATGAGGAGCCACACAGAAAGTACAAAACTAAGCCGTAGAAAGAATTGCACAACATGGCAAGCTTTCATTGCCATCCCGACTACAAACTCCTGAAAAGGAAGCCTAGCTGGAGCATTTTCAGCATAAACCGGGGAAAAGGAAAATGCATGTTTACAAACCTACAAAGAACACCAAATACGTTTCATTAGAGGAGATATATCTTCACCAAGAAAATACATTCTTCATAAACATAATAGGTAGAAGAAAAATAAAAATACATATTTGCAGGTACTTGAAAAATGCAAACCAAACATATACATTAATCAGTGCAAACCAGCTTTGGAAGTAAAAATGAAACTATAAACATATAACTGCTATCTTAAATGAAAGCAGTTAAATCCATTCATTCACATTTATGCATTCAGAATCATTCATATAATTTCATACTTAAACCCAAGGCTTCAAGCTTAATTTTCTAAAATGTTGATTGCCTATCAATATTTTTTTTGATGAAGAGATTTAACAAAATCATGCAATTCATTTGTCTACACGTGTGTCTATATGAAACCATTCATCAAAAAGTCATGACCATGAAAATTTTCAACAACCCAATTCATATGAAACCTCAAAAGATGAAATCTTCTGATCATGACTTTAACATTCCAAAGTCAAGAAAATAAACGCAAATGAAACATTAAGCATTTATGCATATAAAAATCAAGAAAGAAACTTCAATCCATCATTCACTTCTTCTTCCTCCCAACATTCCAGAAAGAAAATATCAGTCGATCACCCTTGGAATTAAAATTTAAAAACGCCGCAATGCATCAATCCACTGAAAGAACCATAATTAAAACTTCTTCTTTAATCAGTCTTTCAAAAGTTTCATTAAATAATTTAACGATTAATCAATCTATCCTTCAAATTTTTCCATCAAACAAGAAAAATATTCAATTAACCTCGCATTGGCGAGCGTTGCTGTGATTGAGCCACTGAAGGAGGCAATCCTGGTGAACAAATTTGATACTTCCACTACACGCGCACGGATACCGTAACGGATTCTCCGCGTCTCCTGGATTTCGACAGATCCGGCACACGTCTTCCTCCTCCTCCTCCTCCTCATCGTATCGCGACACGCTCTTCTCGCGGTCCTCCACCACCTCTCTCTTTATCGACACCGACGATGAGGACGTCGAGGGCTCGGAGGACTCGACGGATGAGGTCAAGGGAGCGCTGCCGCGGATTAACGATGTGGAGCCGTCCATAAGGGCGAGCTGATATGACCCACTGAGTTTGAGAGACCGAGTTGGGCGATCGATTGAATTGGTGATGATGGTTTTTAACAGATGGAGTTGTGTTTGGCGATGATTTTGGGATGGGTTGGATTAATTGTTTACGTTTGTGTCCCTGAAATGCCCCTCGGTTTTGGGTTATATTTCAGTTTTGTCGGTTACGAGGCGACCGGCTGGCTGGAGCTGACGTGGAGGTAATTAATTGGTTATTTATTGGCTTTAAGCGTTGTAAGTTGTTAAGTTAAAAAGAGTTTAGATTACAATAGGAGAAGTTGAAGAGTAAATTGAGATATTTGTGTCAAATACTACAAAACTAATGGTCAAACTATCTACGATCATTCTAGAAATGCATTTCTTTTTCTTTTTTCTTTTTTTTATATAAAAAAACATATTTAAATAAAACATCTTTCCCAAAATATTTTAGGGCCTTTCGAAATAAATAAGAAAATTTTCTAATGATTTTATGTGGCAAAAATACTAAAGTTATATATATCTTTTTTTTTCTTTTATAATTGGGGCGTCCGGCTAGTTTACGCGCGCTTTAACTAATTATTTGGAACCCTATAATTACCTATCGGTTAAAAACTTTAATGACTACCCATATTAGCAACCGAAGAAAGATTCGAAATTTCAAACTCATAACCTCAAGGGGTTGGCTTGGTGATCAAGGAGGTGTTCTCTTCCTTGACTTTCTGGTTCATACCTTGGGACTACCCCCCTCAATGCATAATTATGTTTTACCTGGTTCATTGAGTTTGTAAGATATTTAATAGACCTTAATGATTATTTGAGGTGCGCGTAAGTTGGTTCAGACACCTGGTTGGCAAAAAAAAAAAAAAAAAATTTAAACTTTTAACCTTTTGAATAATACACTCAAGAGTCTTTATCGAACCATTCGATAACCTAGAGATAATTATATATATATATATATATATTTTTTTTTTTTTTTTTTCTTATAACATAGGAACAACACAATAAACTAAATTGTGAGAACTCAAATTCTTGTGAAGGCGTTGGAGATTGAATCTTGAGTTGTTGTTTTATTAAGATGGGCTTAAGCCCAACATTGAATATTTGGACATTTGGGATCTTGTACAAGGCTTTTAAATTCGGACAAGCTTTATCTATGTTTCTGGCTCTGCATGACATTTTTGGGCTGAATGGCTACGATAATAGAAGTCCTCTACCGCGGGTTTTACACGGTCGATCGGGTCATATGCAATTATGCATAACGTAGGTCGAGGACCCACCAAAGCACGAAACAGGATGTTTCAGAAAGAGTGGATCTATCCTTACCGCACTAATAAATTCTAACTCGATATTTTACTAAATTTTATAAAGCCAAATTTACTCTTGTATTAAATTATTAAAATTAACTTTAATTTCATATTTTTCACAAATACTTTTGACATTTCATATTTTTTCATGAGAATGAATAATAAAGATAAGATTTGAAATCTAAGATTCTTTGTAATCACATATAAATTTATTTTATTATTATTATTTTTTTTTTTGAAAGGCATTGTTAATCTATATGTTTTTTGTGTAGTTAAATCTATCATGTTTTTAGGGTTATTTCTTAGGATTTTTTTAACTTTAATTTTTTATGAACTTTCAATTTGATTATCTCAAGTTTCGTGTTAGGAATAGCGATAGAGAGAAGTATATACTATAAGTGAAGGGATTGAAATGTTATCTCTTTTAAATAATTAAAAAAAAATTGCATGAAGGGCATTTATGAAATTCATGGGATGCCAAAAGAAAAAAAAAATTTAATTTGTAAAACTTTGCAATGAGATATTATTTAGTTTATTAGTAGGGTGCCAATAGCTCCACTCCTTAAAAAATGGATTCCTATATTGCATAATCGTATAGATAAGATCATAGTAATTGTTGCTACAGAATTTTGCACTAACTAGAGAGATCTGATCGACCTTGCTGGGATCGGAATCGATGTGTGCGTGATTAGTGATAATCAACAATGAATATGAATGAAATGAACCAAAAACAAAGAGATTTTTAAAGTGGTTCGGCCAGGTTAACAACCTACGTCCACTGTGTTTTTGTATTTGTTGTGGGAGCTTACAATGCAATTCTTATCTGAAATTCGTAACCCCTTCCTCATTGTATGAAAGAGGGGGGAGGGAGGGAGGGGGGGTTTATATACAAGATTTGTATAAAGGAAGAAACAAAATTCAGGGGATTACAACTGATTTGAATCATAATTCCAATATCCTCACGATTGGGTGTTGTAATTGCACAATGATCATCGTTGATCTAGTCATTCCTGCAATATCTGGGATTTGAAGTAATATTGGGATTGATTGAATGATTCATTGAATTGTTCGCGATTAGCTTATGCTGGGTCAAGCTATAGCTCGAAGAGCTTATGCTGGGTCGATTAATCGTAGTTGTCGAGCTCATTCTGGATTGAGCTATATCCTCGAGTTGGACCAAGCTTGGCAGAAAAACCACACACAACATCTGCCCCTTAGTGTTCGATGCTCATTTTGGGCTTCAAAGACTATTGCTCGATTTGATGCCATGCTCGGCTTCAACAGTGAGTCTTCGAGTGCGTGTTCAACCAAGCCCCCATGATCGACCTTGTGCTTGGCCGATGTACCTCACACTTGGATCTTTATTCCTCATGGTACCTGTCAAAACTCAAAATATGAACAGTCAAGGCATACAAGTAATTTCCACGTGGTCGTGCTGCATTAAATGTGTCAGCCTTTGTTAGTTAAGTTTCGTCGTGCATGGGTGACGACAACTGTTCACGTGCGAAGTTGAGGCGACGTGCGACGACAATTATCATTATAGCAATCTGATGGTTCGTCGCTCCTTGCGAATGGTTGACGCGTGGCCACATCTATAGGCTGAGATTGCTCGATGAATGAAGGGTTAAGATCGGCTGTAAGTCGACGGCCACGATTAAACCCCCCTTCCCCCCCCCCTCCCCATTTGTCTCCCATCCAAACCATTATAAAAGGTGGCGAAAAACCTCAGAATAGTCACTCTGATAGTCATTCTAACTCTGGTTCTCCTTTGCCGTTGTTCTTACATCATCAAGGTGGTCTTTCTTATGAGTTCCCAACACTTTCCTTATTTTGGTAAGGCTCTTTTCCCTATTTTCTTTCGTTTTTCTGATTTTTACGTTAAAGGGTGGCTATTGTAGTGGCCACATTAGATGTTTTAAGGTTTTAGTAGGGTTTTTGGTTGCGTCTCCGACAGTCTCAGGTTTTAGAGAGGTTTAACATGGTGGTCGTCGGTATCCCGAGTAGGTCGTGTGCCTTCGTTATATTGTGCGAGCTATCTTAGGTGCTTGAAATAGAAGCGAGTGTGGAATGGTCGCCGATTTGTTTAAGCTCTAATACATGTTCGTTTCTTTTTTCAAGTACCCAGAAGCGAGCTACAACCATGTCTTCCTCTAGTAGTTGTACCATAGATCGAATGTTCAATTCGCTAGTAACCTCGGCAGCCCTTGGGGATGTGTTTCCTGAGGTCTCTGAAGAATTTGTCGCCCGAAGCTCAGATCCCGACGCTATGGGCTCATCCAATTGTGCTTTGATTCAGTTGGTTCACTCTCTGCCGTCTCTAGCCCATAGGCTACGAAGAGAACCACAATCCTTGATCACACTCAGAGATCTTGAACGCATAGAGTAGTCTATGCACCGCAGCTTAACTTGATGGTTCTAGGGGATATTCTTGGAAGAATCCCTCACATGGATGGGTAGCAACGTCTAAGACTCTCCTTAGGTGCGGGGTATCCATTCCCCCGCACTACTTCATTGATAACGTGTTGAGGCGATTCGACATTGTTCCTCTTCAACCGATGGCCAATTCTTACGTGATCATTATTGCGATGTACATTGCGTACATGATCATTGACTTGGGCGAGCCATCCGTCAAAGTGCTCGTTCACTTATATAGGCTCAAAAAGGGGCAAGACCAGACGTACTACCTTTTTAAAGGGAGGAGAGTACGTTTCAATGGGCTGGTCGAAGTCCCGAAGAAAGTTCCACATTGTAGGGGTGTTCAAAAGTGGTTAACCGAACTGGTTAACTGCTTTTTTGAACCGAAACCGAACCGGTTTGGAGGGAAAACAGGTTTTTCGGTTAATCGGTTTTGAACTGGTTTTCCCTTTTTTTTATAAAACTTATTTTTTTATTTTTTCCTAAGTTAAATTGTAAATATAAATAAGACATATCCAAATAAAAATTAAACATTCTTACATATCCGTTGGCCACTACTAACAATACATTAAAAATATTATTATTTCTTTATTTAATATATTATATTATTATTTTTTATTTATTATATAATATTTATTTTTATTTTTATTTAATATATAATATATATATTTGTAAAACCGGTTTCGGTTAACTGCTTTTTATTTTTTGCCGAACCGAAAATTTGGTTTTTTGAATTTTTCGAACCATAACCGAACCTTTTTTGCATTTTTTTGAACACTCATACCACACTGGGATTCACAGTTCTTTTTCTACGAAGCCCGGGGCCGATGTCTTCGTTACGGAAGCGAGTAAGGCTCAACTTCCTGTGTGCGTGTGAGGATTGTTCTTGAGCTGCACGTTCTAACTGATCGTCTTGTTTTGTTTTTGCAGTTAACGTCGAGTAGAACTATCTTCCTGCTGCAAGCTTATAGAGGCTGCAGCGTTTTAGCGATCTTCCGGACAATCAACGCAATGTTAACGAGCTTCTCACGCTTCCTCACTTGAAAGCGTATGGTTTTTGTCGGGACGAGGCTGTTTTTCTGGCACTTTTGGAGAAAGGTTAAGTTGTTACTTGCTCGCGTTTACTTTCCCGAGCAAATAGATTGTTGATTCATTCACCTTTTTCCTTGCAGAAATGTGTAAAACCCCCCTCTAGTCAGGTATCCTCTGAATATCCCTTAATGAGAATGTAGGGGATACATGTCTGGAGAATGAGCTGTATTTAGAAAAACCTGTGTAAGGATAATAATAATAATATCCAAAACATTCATAGAAGATGTCATGCAGGATCCAAACTTATAATTTTAAAAACTTTAAGAATTTATCCGGAAATTACACAATCAAAACATATTTATAGGGTG